TCGAGGCCCCATCGCATGCGGTTCTCTGCTCAGCTTTCTCTCTGCAGGGCGCAGCCGACGCGAGACCACAACTTACTCGCCGCCTCTGTTTGTCCAGCCGCGGCTAGCTCCGGTTCAGCCTATTCAGCCTGTGTAGTCTGTTCAGCCCCGCCCGTCATGCCGCCGTACATCTGTCCACTAGGCTGTAAGCTCTTGGTTGCTCGGAGCGCAGTGAAGCGTGGGTGCAAATTGGGCCTCGCTTGGCGCCCAAGTGCACTCGCGAATGCACTCTCCGGTGGTGATCTGCTCGGCTCTTGTTTTTAGTCTGGCTGCTGTGGTGCTAAATTGTTTTTCCACCTCGTCTGCCCTTGGCTGAAGTACAGTAGCTGAGCGGTCGTCAATTGTCATGACGACGGCGCTGGGACTGCAAGAACGTGGCTAACTTCTAGCGTGGGATCCACGAGTAACGCATGCACAGCGGTAGGGCAATGGCTCGATGCGGCAGCACTGCGGCGTGCAGACGCGAACCTGCGGATCACCAGTCGGCGTACGTTTGCATGCTCGTCCTGCTGGTCTTCGCGTATAGCACCCCCGTCAGACGCGCCAGATGGCGCAAGAGCATCGCCCAGGACGGACAGTTGCCCTCCTGGAGAGGGATCATGGTGTCGGCCAAACATTCGCGCAGACGGGGCAATCATTCGTGCACCGCCGCCGTCGCGGCTTTCACAACGCCCTAGGCAAGTATTGTAAATTTACAGCAAGACCGCAAGATTGGATCGACGTCCAATCAGCGCGCGCGACCGGAGCTGGTGACAGTCCGCCAAGCGGCGGCTCCGCTCTTTTTTTTGCGGGGCAAGAAAAAATCGATATCTTGACATTGGCATTGCCTTCTGCAGCCTACACCCTGTTGCTTGACTCCAAGACGGTTCCAACGGTGCAAGGCTCTGCTGCCGTAATGCTAAAGGACGGGTTGGGTTGACCGTGGATCTGGGCGCGTTTGAAACCTCGCGTAGAGTAGCCACGCTGCCGTGCCCCAGCCGGAGCCTGAATTGGGCGCGCGCCTCTGAACAGGCGCAGGATGGCTGTCATGCTCTTCCCAACGATCGACACGGGGAACCCGTGCTCCAGTCTCGACAAGCGGCGGAGCTACAATTGCTACCACGCTCGCCTTTCAAACGCGCTATCCTATGCAAAGACGTGGGGATGTGGGTGATCAGGAACATTTTGTAGAGAGTCAAGGGTTTCGTGGGGGATCTGCGCTCGGCCATGGCAGGGTTTCTCGCCTAGTGCCTGCAATTCACGCCTCGCCACTTGCGGAAAGCCAACGTCTGAACGCGGCGCGAGGCGGCGCTGGCGAGACAAGACAAGAGTTGGCCGCGAGCCGTGGCGTACCAAAGTCCGCTGCTTAGACTGACAGCCCAGACTCGAGTGGGGCGCCACAAAGCTCTGCGCCCTCGCAATCCCTGTGAACCCTGAGCAACGGCCGAATCGAGACGCTTTGGAGATCAGCACCGCCGACAGCGGCTGGAAAGGCCAGGAAGGCCAGAAAACCTTCCGACCGAATCGGATGTTCACCGAAGTACGCGATCGGGTCCGATCCAATCCTCCCTCAACACTGCACTCCAAGCTCCTACTAACTCAGTCTGAAACACGCAGAGGCCGTTGGAAAGGCAAGGCTTTGGTATTGGTACATCGAAAGACGGTCCGAGACGCGGGCGTCGATCGAGAAGGTGCGACACACTAGTCGAAACCCTCCGCGCGAACGGGAAGCCGCTGATCTAGAGATGAAGCAGAAGCAGTAGCAGTAGCAGTCAAGGAGTGGTACTAGCAAGTCATAGGAATGCGTAGGAAGCGGGGAATACAGAGTGGACCAGGGTAGGGGGAAAGAAAGGACGAGACGAAAGAATCCAGAAGAGCAGGCGCATTATGCGTCAGCCTTGGACTTCTTCTTGGGGGGCTGGTCGTCGTCCTCGAGGTCGATCTCTGCGTCGTCCTCGTCGTCCTCGTCGTCCTCGGAGTCAAAGTCGTCCTCGTCAAAGTCGAGGTCGTCTGCGCCGGTGTAGAAGTCGATGGCGCCGGGCCAGAAGTCCATGATGATGGCGTGGCCGATGCCGCCGGCGATCTCCCGGTCGGTGTTCTCGAAGAAGGTGGAGAAGAACGAGCCGGGTTCAAAGTCGTCCGAGTCGGGGCCGCCGATGGTGGGCTTGAGCTTGCACAGGTTCTTGTCGTCCGACTTCCAGTCGATCTGCGTCTTCTCGGGCGTGGTCTGCTCGAGGAAGTTGAACTCGTCCTCCAGCGAGTCGGCGCCCTCGACCAGGCTGAACTTCTTGACGAGCTTGTCGTTGGAGAAGAACGGGTTCTCGCGGAACGAGAACGTGATGGTGGCAGCGCGAGGGTCGTTGAGATCGCGCTCGACGTCCACGTTGGAGACGTACGAGAGCGCCTCGTGGTCGGCATCGTCGATGTACACGTTGGTCGCCATGCAGTTGATCAGCGCCTGGAACCAGAAGTCCTTGACGGACGACACGATCTCGGCGCGCTTCTTGTAGAGGGGGGCCTGCAGCTTGAGCTCGTGCTTGATCAGCTCGGCATCGGCCTTGCGGAAGTCCTCGACGAGCGAGTCGACCTTCTGCTGAAGAGCGTCAGGGAAGGTCTTGGGCTCGGGCTGGCGGTAAGCGTCGGTCATCGTGACAATCGAAGATACGATATACGTAGGCTGTGGAGGGGTGGAGGGTATGTGTTGTTTGTCCAAAACGGGGGTGATGGGTTAGGGGGAAGGGTGGCCGCAAGACAGTGAGCCTTATTAAGAAGCATGGACGGCATCCATCCGCCCCTGCAAAGATCCGCAAAGGCAGAGGAAAAAAATCTAGGGTGCAGCTTCAGTAAACGCTCACAACGACATTCTTCTCGCCGATCCATGGTCGCGCCGCCTTTGCCACTGAACCGTGCGGTGCGCTGCGGTGCGGAGCTGCACCAAGGCGCTGTAGAAAATTTGTTGACTTTAGTGGAGTGGGAGCTCTAAAAAAAATCCTCGAAAAAAAGTGGAAGTTCTTCCAGGATGTCTGTGCGCACACTGATGTCGTGCATCAAGGACACGCTTTCGGTGGCGGGAGCTGGGATTTTTTTCCTGCACAGCGCACGTTTTTGCGAAATTCCTCGACGTTTGCCGTGACGAAATTTACGCACGGACGCGGTCATTGGAGCGGAAGGCGGTGGAAGCGGCGCGGGCGAAAACGTGTTAAAGCTTTTTGATCCATTCAACGCGACGCGGTTGCCCTAGCGAGGGCGGGCTGGGCGCACTCGGACGAGACAATGAAGAATGGCGCGTCGACAGGACGAGGCTGCTGCAGACGGTTCGCGCGTCGGGCGAGACTGGCAGGCGATCTGTTACTTTGACACGGCGCGGAGGGTGCGGTTGGGGCTGGAAGAGTCGAGTGAGATGGACCCGCTTTCCGCGCCCCAGGTCTCGACCGCACCTCCACCTCATCCTCGTCGTCGCTGCCTACCATCATCACCTCTACGACCGCGCCTCTACCTTCTGCCCACCATGGACACCTCAGATCTCGTGGACGACGAGGCGGCCATCGCGCAGCAGAAGCTGTCGAACGAAGAGTACAAGATCTGGAAGAAGAACTCGCCCTTCCTGTATGATCTCGTGGTGACGCATGCGCTCGAGTGGCCTTCGCTCACGTGCCAGTGGTTTCCGGACAAGGAGACGCCGGCGGGACAGACGTACACGCAGCACCGGCTGCTGCTGGGCACGCACACCTCGGAGCAGGACCAGAACTACCTGCAGATCGCACAGGTGCAGCTGCCCACCACGGGCGCCGACGGACCGTCGAACGCCGCCGAGTCGCGGCTCGACCTCAAGCAGTACGACGAGGACAAGGGCGAGATCGGGAGCTACTCGGCCACCACGGCGCGCCTCACCATCGTCCAAAAGATCAACCACGACGGCGAGATCAACCGCGCCAGATACTGTCCGCAGAACTGTGACCTGATCGCGACGCGCACCGTCACGGGAAAGACGTACGTGTTTGACCGCACCAAGCACTCCAACACCCCCTCGGCGGACGGGGTTTGTCGGCCCGATATTGTGCTCGAGGGCCAGACGGCGGAAGGATACGGTTTGAGTTGGTCGCCGCTGAAGCAGGGCCACATTCTGGCGGCTAGTGAAGATACCACGGTGTGTCATTGGGATATCAACCAGTACACCAAGGGCAACAACACGCTGCAGCCGCTGGCGACGTACACGGGCCACACGGCGATTGTCGAGGATGTGGCGTGGCACAACCACCACGAGTCGCTGTTCGGTTCGGTGGGCGATGATCGTCAGCTGCTCATCTGGGATGTGCGCGAGGCACCCACCGCGCCCAAGTACCGCGTCGAGGCGCATGCGGGCGAGGTCAACACGCTCGCATTCAGCCCCGACAACGAGAATATCCTCGTGACGGGATCGTCGGACAAGACGCTGGGTGTGTGGGATCTGCGCAACCTCAAGGTGAAGCTGCACTCGCTCGAGGCGCATACCGACGAGATCCTCTCTGCGTGCTGGAGCCCACACAACCCTACGGTGCTGGCGAGCGCAAGTGCCGATAGGAGGGTTAATATCTGGGACCTGAGTAAGATCGGTCAGGAACAGACGCCCGAGGATGCAGAAGACGGTCCGCCCGAATTGATCTTTGTGCACGGTGGGCATACTAGCAGACCGACGGATCTCGGTTGGAGCCCCCATCTTGAGTGGGCGCTGACTACGGCGGCGGAGGATAATATCGTCATGGTCTGGAGACCGAGTAAGGCCGTCATCGACACGGGCAACGAACACGTCGCTCCCGAAGACCTCGAGTAACTTCCCCCCCCCCCCCCCCAACCTTGCCTGCCTTTTGGTTCCACCACGTCCTGTCTTGCAATGCAGCCAATTTCCATCCAGCACAAGACTTACACTGCATCGCTCACGACCCGAGATCGTCACAAGGAAACAAGTGCGAGATTGGATTTGCTGTTGGGGGAATGGAGAGAGTCTAGAATTGGAGGGCGTACATGATGACGACGCCGATGGTGCCTACGATGAGCGTGGCGACGACGGACGCCAGTACGCCGACCTTGAGGAAGTCCTTGACGGAGACGTAGCGGTCTCCGAGATCGTCCTCCATGGACACGGCGATTTGGTTGGGATACCCACTGACGGGCAACCCCATGGCTGCCGACGCCACGAGCGTCGTAGCCATAATGAGCAGTCGTGGATGCGGGGTGTCGAGGCTCTCGCCGACCTGGGCCGCAATAGGCACAAGCAAGACCGCAGCGATGGTGTGGCTGATAAACGTCGCCACGACCAGACCGATCCCAAGCAGGGCGACAATGATCTGCCACAACGGAAGCTCCTTGACGATCTCCTGAATCAAGTCATCAAGCGATTCGAGCAATCCTGACGACGTCACAGCCTTACCCAGCGCAATACCGCCCATCGCCAGGAAGACGACGGTCCAGAGGAACGTGTTGAAGTCCTCCTTGGTGAGGATGCCCGTGCCAAAGAAGAGCACCATGGGAACAATCGCAATAATGCCCATGTCGCCGACGATCCACTCGAAGTTCTTCTCCACACACCACAGCACGATCGTCGACACGGCGACGGCCGAGATGAACCACTGGATCTTGGTGAAAGAGTCTCTGCTCTCGCCGAGCTTCTTGATCACGGTCCCCCTGCCCGCGCCATAGCTCCAGAGCAAAATCAGCCAGATGACCACCAGCGATAGTCCTGAGACGGGGATGGTAACCGCGAACCACTGCAGCCATCCGACGGGTTGCTTCATGTACTGCAGCGCAATGAGGTTCTGGGGCGAAGCGATGGGCGAGGTCTGTCCGCCGATGTTCGACGCCAGCGCGATGCCCATGATGAGGCTCGAGGCGTACGGCGACTTGCTCGGCAGCGTACGCAGGATGGGCTGGATGAGCGAATACATGAGCACGGGCGCAGCGACGTTGCTGATCCACATGGACGCAAAGCACGCCACGCCCATGTGCGCCAGCAGCACCACGCTCGGCCTCGTCCCCGCCAACCGCAGGATCTTGGTCGCCAGAATCTTGTCGATACCATACTTGGACAGCGCCGCCGCAAGCGTGAATCCGCCGAGCAGCAGGCACATGTTGGGCGCAAACATCTGCGAGAAGATCCACTTTGTAGTCTCGGGCGCCGTCATGCGGCGGTCCTTGACGTCGTCGGTGCGTGCGACGCGCAGCGTGACTACAAGCAGCGGCACCATAAGCGACGTGACGAACAGCGGGATCACCTCGGTCGCCCACAGGATGGTGCAGAAGACGAGCATCGCCAGACAGTTTTGCTCCTCGACGCGGTTGAAGAAGCGCAGACCCGGTGCTTTGAGCAGCGCCACGAGCGCAGTGAAGGCGATGAGCAGGTGGAGCGTGCTCATGCTCAACCAGCCGGGCACGGTGAAGCTGCCGCACGGCGTGCGCAGGCGGAAGGGCTTGCTGGGCTCCAAGTCGTGCTGCTTGCCGGAACCCATGACGGTCCTTTCGAGCGCCGCACCCTGCGCACGCCGCTCGATGCCGATCATCTCGCGCCACACCGTGTTGCGCTGCCACACCACCTGCTCGCGCAGATGCGTCTTGAGCTGCTGCGCCGCCGCGCCCACATCACCCGCCGTCACCACCTTGGCGAACAGCTGGATGAGCGTGTCGATGCACTCGTCGAGCCCGCGCTTGGCGTCGGCGGTGAAGGGCGGCTGGGTGCGCAGGCTGTCGTTCATGTAGCGCTCCTTGAGGTCGGATTTGGTGATCTTGTCGTACTTTTTGAGGATCTTGCGCATGCCCGTCTCGTTGAGCTGCACGAACTGGCGCAGCTCGGACATGGCGACAAAGAGGTCGGTGATGCGCTTCTTGAAGGTGATGCGCATGTCGATGGCGTAGTCGTTGTCGGCGGTCCAGATGGACATGCTCTTGGCGTCGCCGCCAAAGCTGCTGTCGCCGGCGTCGCTCGAGGCGGGGACGAGGCGATCGTGGCTGTTGGACGGATCGTCTGCTGCGCCGCCGCCGCCGCCGCCGGCAAGCACGATGCCGAGCGAGCGACGACGCACGGGCTTCTTGCCAAAGATGCTGGCCCAGCGCGCCTTGGAGCCGGACTGGCTGGCATTGGAGCTGCTGCGTGTGCGCTTGGCAAAGCCCGAGGTGTCGCCCTGCTCGGAGAGGTCGGCCGAGTGGTCGAGGAGGGTGCTGGAGCGGTTGCGGTTGTTGGGCGGGCGTGCTGCAGCAGCGGTGGAGGCTTCGTCGAGGGTGGCGCGGCTGTCCTTGCGAGAGCGCGAGGGCGCGCCTTCGCGCATGCGCTGCTGCTGACGCGAAGCCTCGTTGTACTTGCGCGGCTGCGTAAAGACGTCGTCGATGCTGGAGCGACGCTCTGCGCTGACCTTGGCGGTGCGTACGGTGTCGATGAGATCCTCGTCGTCGTCCTCGTCGTCGCTCCTGGCAAAGTCGGAGTCGTCGTCAAAGTCTTCGCTCTCTACGCGCTCGAGGTCGTCGTTGAGGTTGTGCAGATCGGCGCGCAGCTCGGCCTCCTTTGCGAGGTAGAAGTCGACGATCTTGGTGAGTTCCTTGTCGAGGAGCGGCACGAAGGCGCGGTCGGTCTCTGTGCTCTGCGCATCCTGGAGCAGGCCGGACGATTCGTTTTCGACGTCCGAGTAGGCGGCATTGGGAGCGGAGGGAAGCTCCTTCTCCATGAGGTAGATGGTCTTTTTGAGGTTCGAGTAGGCGATGTACTTGTCGGCCCAGTCGGGGACGGCGTTGAACTGGATGCTGTGTGAGAACTTCATGGTGGGATTGTGCTGGAGGTGGTGGTGTATGCGTTGGTGTAGCTGTGAAAGTCTATGCGCAGGGTGTACGTGCGAGGTGGTGGAAGGACGTAGTAGCTGTAGCGGGATATGCTCCTGGCTGTCTTGCGCGATGGGGACGAGGTTGCGGGATGAGCGACGGGTGCGAGATCCGGAAGCGCTGTACGGCTGATTGGTCGCCATGCACTACGCACTGGTAGCCGTGTCACAGCAGGGCTATCGAGCTAGGCCGCCGACTGGAATGGCCATCCACGGGCGTCGACAGCAAGGTGAGGAGTGGCGGTGGTCGAGCTTTGTCACTCGTATGAGGGCATGTGGTTAGTCGCAAGGAAGGCTTGGCAGTGAGGGGGAGAGGGAGAGAGAGAGGGTCGGAGCGAGAGAGAGAGAGAGAGAGCGTCACAGCGCATCGCCCAATCCAATCCAATCGTCCAAATCCCAATCCGAATTCGGCCCAAAAATTGCCCCAAAAATGTTTGATTTCTTTTTTTTCGCAGCTGTTGTGGGTGCGAAATGGTCGGAATTCGGAGAGGCTCGAGGTGGAGGCTTGGTGCTGCCCTTCCGCGACTTTTTCGAGCGCCCTTGCTCCTTTGGTCCTTACCTCGATCCTCCCTACTCCGACCACGTCCATCAACCATGGGACACGGCAAATCGGACCGGCCGTATCTGAGTGCAGCCGAGCACTCGGGCGTGTACGGCTCGCACTCGGCGTCCTCGGGCAAAACCGCCTCGCTCGCTGCCGCCTTCGAGCCCGTGGCGTTCGACTGCTGTGCGCTCTCGTTCCAGCCCTGGACGCTGCCCGTATGCTCGCCCGACTGCGGCGTGGCATTCGAGCTGACGAACCTCATCCCCTTCCTGCGCAAGTACGGCGTGCATCCGATCACCGGCCGCGCGTTCGAGCTCGACGACGTGGTGCGGCTCAAGTTTGCGCGCAACGAGCAGGGGCGCTTCCACGACCCGGTGTCGATGCGCGAGTTCGGTCAGCACTCGCATATCGTCGCGATCCGTCAGACGGGAAACGTGTTCCTGTACGATACCGTGTCCAGGCTCAACATCAAGCCCAAGTACATGTGCGATTTGGTCACGGACCAGCCGTTTACCAAGGCGGATATCATTACGGTGCACGATCCGAATCGGCCGGAACTCAGAGATGCTCGCCAGATGCACCATGTCAAAGAACGTCTTGCCCTCACGCAGCAAGATAAGGGCATTGATGCGACGCAGCAGATCAATACGGCTGCTACGGGGAGTGCGAAAAAGCTGCTTGCGAAACTGGGCGGGGGCAGCGAGAAGGAGCCGAAAGCGGCGCAGAAGAGTACGGCGGTGAGTCGGAACAAGGCCGCAGGGGCGTCGACGGGGATGGCGGCTGCGAGCTTTACCTCGTCGAGTCTGACGCCGCGCACGGCGATCGAGCGCGTGGAGCTGGACGATGAACAGACCATGTTTGCGCACGTGCGGCGCACCAAGCGCAAAGCCTACGTGCGTCTCACCACCAACCTGGGCGCACTCAACCTCGAGCTGCACTGCGATCTAGCGCCCCGAACGTGCTATAACTTTCTGCAGCTGTGCAAGCAGGGTCACTACGACGGCGTCATCTTCCATCGCAACATCCCTGGGTTCATGATCCAGGGTGGAGATCCTACGGGTACGGGTCGGGGCGGCAGCTCTATATGGGGCCACGAGTTTGTGGATGAGTACGGCGAACCCGGAGCGCTGAAGCACTCGTCTCGGGGGATGTTGTCCATGGCCAATCGAGGACCAGGCACCAATGGGAGTCAGTTCTTTTTGACCTATCGGGCGGTGCCACATCTGGATGGAAAGCACACGGTGTTCGGGCAGCTTGTTGACGGCGCAAAGGACGCAACGTTGGCAAAGATGGAGGGCGTGCCGACGGTGGAGGGGGATAAACCGATACGCAAGATTCAGATCGAGACGGTGCTGGTTAGCGACGACCCGTTCGAGGTGTATACGCTCAAGCAGAAGGATGCCGCCAAGGCGAACGATCCAACCAACCCGGAGTACATTGCGCGCATGGAGAGGAAACGACGCCGCGAGAACGATCGAACCACGTGGTTGGGTACCGAACTCCAAGGCAAGGAGGATAAGGCCAAACAGATTCTTACCGCCGCCACTACGGTTGGCAAATACATGCCGCAGACACAAACGCACCAGTCAAAGGACCAACCGCAAGCGTCCAAAAAGCGCAAATCCGGTTTCGGAGATTTTTCATCGTGGTAACATCATGCGCACAAATCGATACCCAAACCAAAGAGTGTGATTACTGAAGTGTGTCAAGTTACTGTCAAGTTACTGCTGGGGTTGCTGGGGTTGGGACTGGAGTTCGGGATCGTTCGAGTAGTTGTCGACATTGATATCGTTCAACCCAAGGTCCTCATTCTGGTCCCAAGACCTGGTGTACTTTTCGTCCGTCAGCTGTTCGTCGACATCGGGCGCATAAGGATTCTGAATATACGAATTCGCCAGCGGATCGTCCAGCACGACCGTATAGGGTTCATCGCACGCAATGACCTTCTTCAACCGCGCCAGGAATCCCTCAAAGTTATCTGCGTTTTGGGACGAGTCGCCACGCATGAGCACGCGCTCGGACAACTCGTCATACACCTGCTGCAACAGTCCCTCCAACGTCGTAAACCTTCCACCCAACGTACCCGGCGCCAGATGAAGGTCGATCTCCGGAATCGCAAAACCCGCCGTTTCGGACTTGAGCACGTCCCTCGACAGGTCCTCCTTGTCCTCGACGCGCAGCGTGAGTTTGCGTCCCAGCTCCGAGATGGCAGCGCCGGACTTGACTTCGTTGTCCTTGTAGCCGCAGTTGTCGCAGTTGGTCGACATGATGAGGATGTCTTTAAAGTAGGGGATGTTGACCTTCTTCATGCGTGTGTCGAGGGGGGCGTTGCACGACGAGCATGTGCCCGCGAAGGTGTACACCTCCTCGTTGTCGAATTCGGTCTCGCCCGCGTCTTTGTCGAAGCCGGTCGTGTGCAGCTCTTCGCCCTCCGTGGCGGGAGCGGTGGATGTGCCAGAGAGACCGAGCAGCTCGTTCTGCTCCTTGGTGCGCGGGTAGTCGCGCTTGCTCCATTTGGCATCCGACATGCCGCGGCCCTGGACGTCGCCCATGAACTCGACAAACGAGTTGCCCGATGGATCGTCCAGCCGAATCGAGAAGGGGGGCACCGTGCGCTCCGCCTTCTGCTCGGCCGACATGGTGTTGGAGCTGCCACCGACAGGACCGAGGCTTCGCAGCCCCGAGGTGGTGCCCTCATCATTGGCGGCGGCTTCCTCGTCGGCCTTCTCCTCGCCAAGGATGTTCCTCAACTTGTCGCACACCTCCTCGATCTTTGCGTACGCGTCGGGCTGCATGTGCTTGCGGAGGGGCTGGTCGAGTTCGAGGTCGCGCAGCGTATCGCTGACGACGCCCTCGATGGTGGTGAGCTGGCCCTTCTTGGGCGGGATCTCGATCTGGAGCTCGGGGATGGTGATGGTGCAATGCTCCGACTTGACGACCTGTCGGTTGAGGTCGGTGGGGTTGGTGACGTGGACGGTGTACAGACAGCCCTTGGTCTGGATCTGACCGGCCGACTGGATCTCGGAGTTGCGGTTGCCGCAGTGCGGGCACGAGAACGACACGACGATCACCTCGCGGAAGTAGGGGATGTAGGTGAGCAGCATGCGCGTGGTGCCCTGCTGGTGGCAGTCCATGCAGAGCGAGTCGATCTCGTCCACCATCTTTTGCTCCACCTCGGTGGAGGTAGGCTGGTCGCCATCGGCAACGTGTTCGCCAATGGGCTTGAAGAAATCCTTGGATTCGGCAGCGTTGGTGGAGGACATGGTGGCTGCGTCGGGAATGTCGACGTCGGCGGGAGCAGCTTCGGTGTTGAGTCTCTTGGGCAACGGTGCTGCTGCAGGATCGGTTGTGCGTTTCATGGAGTGGTGGCTCTGCGATCAGCAAAGTTGGGTAGTGATGAGGAGGAAGAAAGGTGTGAGTCTGAGCGCGCCTTCTTGAGTCGCCACACCCACGCACGACACTTTGCGCCCATGTGGAGTTTGAGCTGGGCTGCTGTGTGTGGAGATTTTTTTTTTTGCGCTCGGATTTTAGATGGCTGGTTTCGAGGGGCTTCTTGGGTCTTCGAGCTCGAATAAATCGGGACGTTGGACGTGCAAAGATCGGGGGATGGCGCGATGGGAATGGGAAAGTGGGCGCCACATGGACGGCAACAGGTTGACCCGAACGCACGGAAAACAGTGCAGTGCATTGGCGTGCAGTGCAATTCACGCTGACAATTCTCATTTCCGCTGGGCCAGCTGAAACGCAGACGCTCACTATCGGGTGAATGGCAGATGCAAAGTCGAGATCGTGGAGCCGAGACGAATTTTGAGCAGCACTGGAATCGCATGGTCCGACGGAGTGCGAGCGGGCGGAGGTCGAAATGGGATTGCGCCAACTCGAATGCCGGTTTGAGTGTGTGTCAGATGGAGTTGGGATGACCGGCGTGCGATGATGTGTGCGCGCGCGCTTTCGAAGCTGGGCGTCGGCCGAGATAGGAGCCGATGCACGGATGGAGGTGGCTCGCCATGATCTTTCCATTGGCAATCATGAACGTGTGAGCGGTGTAGAGTGCAGTATGAGCCATTTGCGGTAAGGCACCCGCTATTGGACGGGGCGAACGAGAACATCAGGAACCAGCGATGGACGGTACAGTAAATTTACTGTATCGGGCTCGGCAGAGAAGCCGGCGAGCTTTGTTTCTGCTTGGCGAGGAGCTGCAGAGCGGCAGAGCGGCGGAGCGAATCGCGTGTTGCGGAATTACTTTTTTGGATGCACGGCGTTGGCAGATCCGTGGACTTTGTTGGCGGGGGCGATGCGCGCTGCCAAAAATTCGAGAATGGCCGCTGCCATCAGCGCAGGCCAGATGAATTTTTCTCGCGTTTCGCGGTGGGTTAATGAGTTGGCAGCCGAGCGAGCGACGACTGAGCGCGCGTGGAGAAAGGCTGGAATGCGCTTTGGGCCTGGACCTGCTCAGTCGGCTCGGGCTCGGTTTCTGGCTCTGGATTGGAATTGGCGGCTCGACTTCTCCACCATCTCGTCCGCCTCGCCTTGCCTACATCCATAGCCCTATCCATTGCCGACGCTCACACACACACACACACCCGCACCGTCTCTCTATCGTCTCACCACATCGTATCCTCGTAGGCGTCTTTGAAGCCCCCTCGCTTCCCCCGCCGTGGCATCTGCTCCGTCACACCCCACCTCATCGCACCACCACCCGACCTCGCAAGCCTTGATGCATCTCGTCTGATCCTCACACATCTCGCGTCTTTCCCATCACACGCGCGCGCTGCGTCTCGCCGTCCAGTAGGCCACCCGCCATCCACACCCTCTCGTCCCTCCATCCTGCACCATTCTGCCAACTTGATCAACCCATGCCTGCCGCCATTCCATCCCACCTCTCGTTGTAATTCCCCAAGCATACCCGCGCACATCGGTTGCCGCTGCCCACCATGCCCACTCCCAACCCGCATCCGCTCCACCAGTCGCTCGTCAGACCCTCATCCCCCGGCGCTTCCAGCCTCTCCTCCGAGTCCGCAGCTCGCAGAATCGCCGCCAATGCCGTCGAGGCTCCCACCTGTCCCATCGCCTGGGGAACCTGGCTTCGCAAGTATCAGCTCGGCTCGTGGTGCGAAAAGGTAGCCCCACAACAATCGTCCGCAACATCGTCCGCAACATCATCCGCATGTGCCCCAAATGGAACCACAACCTACCATTCCCCAAATCCAACAACCACCCATACCCCGGATCTCCATCTGCCCGAGCCTGCCTCCTCGTCTTACGCCACTACCCCTCCTCCACCTACCCAGCATGCGCGCACCACCTCGGCCAAGCTGTGTCAGCCCTTTGAATCCTCCAAGGCGCATCGCTACGTCAAGCTCGACTCCGAGCAAAAGATCGAGTCCATGCAGTTCTACAAGAAGAACGGATGGCTCGCCGCCCCTCCCTTGCCCCGCAGGCAGCATCGTCGCGTCGCAGAGGCGCTCCGTCGCCACGCACTCACCGGCGCACAGGACCGCGACGCTCTCAACCTCTACGTACAGCACGCAAAGGCCGTATTCAAGTGCGACTACGCCTCCTTCATGGTCGAGAGCCCAGACGAGACCTACATGCTCATCCTCGCACAGGACGGCGGAAACCCACAAGTCCAGATCGTCCCACGCACCGTCACCTTGTGCTCGCACGCCATGCTCCTCTCCGACGACGAGGTGCTCGTCATCGCCAACACCCAAAACGACTGGCGATTCCGCGCATGTCCCTCCACCCTCGCAGGCACCGTCACAAACGCAAAAGGAAACCCAATGAGCTTTTACGCTTCGGCACCCCTCTTCCTCTCCTACTCCCTCTACGGCATCGAGGGCAGAGTCCAGGTCGGCCGTCTCTGCATCATGGACCAGCAGCCCCGCGAAAACTTTGACGAAAAGGACGCCGAGCTCCTCTACTCGATCGGCAAGATGGCCGGCGACGCCCTCGAAAAGGAGTACCAGAGCGCACGCAACGCCAAAGCCGCAGAGATGCAGCAGCGCACCAGCAGCCTCATCCGTTCGCTCGAAGATGCTTCGCTCACCCACCACCACCGCCATCTCAACGCCTCCACCAACTCGATCAGCAACGACTCCGAACACGGCGGCTACGCACGCTACTCGCTCGTCGTCATCGATCGCGCATGCCACGAGCTCCAGCAGTGCCTCGGTGCCGCCGCCGTCGCCGCCTTTGACATCAACAACTTCCGCTTCCGTCGTGCACCCCAACAAAGTGTCTCGCCTCGCAACTCGACCGCCTTTGCCGCCGCCACTGTGCCCTTGTGGCATCATTTCGACGACAAGGACCTCACAGAGCCCGTCACCCCGCCCGCCGATTCCGTCTCCACGCCCACCCTCATCGACCCCGACTCGCCCATGATCTCGCCACGCATGAGCCGCAACCTCTCCTCCTCCGCAGACCCAGTCGGTGTGCTCCAGGCCATCGATCTCCGCGAGGGCTCGCCTCCACCGAGTCTGTTGAGCTTCAGCGGGCCCGACGACTACCGTCCCAACCTGCCCGACGACATCGACCAGCTCAAGGCCGTCTTCGCCTCGCCTCTCGCACGCATGGCTGCAGAGACCAAGATGAACCTGCGCTGCAAGTTCTACCGCAGGCCTGTCGACGGCTCCTCTTCCAGTGACGACGGAGAGGACGACGACACGCTCGCATCCGGCGCAGACGACAACGACAAGGATCCGTGGCAGGATCTGCTTCCAACCCACTCGCACGTCAGCTCCTATGCCGTCGTCGCGTGCTACAACCGCGCCAAGTTGCGTCCGGGCATCATGTTCCTCATCATGTTTGCCGATCACGTGTGCTTTGATCAGCAGGAACGCTTCTTTGTCGAGAGCACCATGCAGATCGCGCTTGGCAGCTTGCTCAGGCAGAAGCTGTCCGAAGTCGACTTTTTCCAGGCCGAGTTCCTGCGCCACGTCCAGCATAATTTGCGCACACCGCTTCATGGCGCCCTCGGTGCCGTCGAGTACCTGCGTGCGGCCATCAGCAACGATCCCGACGACGATGCGGTCAAGATCGACCTCTCGGCGGACGGCGTGCTGGCTACGCTGCTCGAGTCCATCTCGCTCTCGGGTCTCACGCTCAACTCGTACATCGACGATCTGCTCAGCTTCCAGAATCTCTCGGGCATCAAGGGCGGTCTCGCCCCGGCCGTCAAGCGTACGTCGACCGATATTGTCAAGGTGATCGAGGCTGTTGCCGACGAGGAGTGGGAGTTTGCACAGCGACTCGACCACCAGTCGCGCAAGCTCGACGAAGACGACCTGCACCCCGATGCGGTCGCCTCGAATGCGGTTGAGCTTATCATCAAGGCGACGCCGGAAGTGCGCGAGTGCGACTGGATTGTGGACGTCAAGTCGCTCCAGGACGTGGTGCGCAAGGTGGTCTCGAACGCCGTGCGCTTCACGCAGAAGGGCTATGTGGAGGTGTCCATCCGTCTGGCCGAGCAGGGCGCGTTGGACGAGGTGGAGACCGAGGTGGCGGATGGATACGCGGTGATCGAGATCGAGGTCGCCGATACGGGCGTGGGCATGACCAAGGACTTTTGCCAGACGCAGCTCACGCGGCCGTTTACCAAGGGCGACTCGTTCCGCGACGGCATTGGTCTCGGCATGACGATTGTGTCGTCGACATTACAGAAGTTTGGCGGGAAACTGTCGGTTGCGTCGGAGGTCAATGTGGGCACGCGCGTCACTATGTGTGTGCCGCTACAGCGCTCACCGAGTCATGGTCGAAGCGGGTCTACGTCGACCAATGTGCCAACGCGATTTGCCGCGTCCAAGCTGGCGTATTATGGGCTGGATACGCGCGGATTGCGGAGGCTGGCCAACTCGATCTGCGAGTACTTTATGCCCATGGGAGGGATCGAGCTGACGCGCAACTTTGCCGAGGCCGATTGCGTTGTGCTGCCCATGCGGGCTGTGGGCAAACTGGCCGAGGGCGAGCCGTCGTTGTTGTCGCAGGTGAAGCCGGATGCGCGGTTTGTGGTGATCACGTCGTCGCATACGGTGCACGATAAGGATGTCGAGATGCTCGATGGGCGTGCGATGCTGCCGCTGCCCATGCCGCATGGGCCCAGTGCGTTGCGGTTGATGGAGACGTTTTTGACCGAGGAGGTGCCCATGCACATTCACATTGCCGACGCGCGCAATGGCCTTCATCGAGGCAGCGTCTCCGAGCAGGGGTCGGTCAATGGGCTGCGCAAGGTGTCGGGCCACCGCACGAGTGGCTCTGATGCCAGCCGCAAGGCGAACGAGGCACAGGTGTCGTCATCTGTCGAGGATACCGACGCCAAGTCGCTGCCCAAGATCATCACCAACACGACATTGCGCGATGACGAGTTCCGGGTGCTGGTGGTCGAAGACAATCCGATCAACATGCGGCTGCTTACGACGCTGTGCAAGCGACTGGACATCCGCTACGAGGAGGCGCACGACGGCGCCGAGGCCGTAACGAAGTTCATCTCGTTCCGGCCCTCGGTTGTGCTGCTGGACATCTCGCTGCCGATTCAGGATGGGTTCGAAGCGTGTGCGCAGATGCGCACGCACGACGTGCCCTCGTATATCGTCGCCGTCACCGCGCTCAGTTCGGAGGAGGATAAGACGCGCGGTATCGAGAGCTGCGGAATGGACGCCTGGATGACCAAGCCCGTGTCGCCACGACAGCTCAAGAACGATTTGGAGAAGTGGAAGGTCCGCTTCGAACAGAGTTGGGCCACCAACCAGGCCGAAAACACCCTTCGTTACTCCTAACACACACACACACACACACACACACACACACACACACACACACACACACACACACACACCCACACACTCACACACACACACACACACACACACACACACACACACACACACACACACACACACACACACACACACACACACACACACACACACACACACACACACACACACACACACACCTACCTTTTTGGTCTCGGATTGCTTTGGATTTGTTCTTGGTTAGGGTTCACTTTTGTCACCGCTTTGCTTGGGTTTTTATGGAATCGTTCATCTCGCTTGGCTTTCGATGTCGTCGGCTCTGAAGTGTCGGGTGGTGGGAGTCTGGCTGTTTTCTGCCTCAGTGTTTGTATGATCCCTCTTGCGTGGAGCGCTCGGCGTTTGTTTTGGCGGAGAGACAGTCTCTGGGTCTAAGGACACGCTGCGTCACATGTATGCGCAAAGCAGTTTGCACCGGAAGGATCCGAACGTCGTCTTGTGGCGGTATGGTGTCGAAATGAAGCGTGGAAAAATACGAAGTGTGTGAGATTGAAGCGCTGCACAAATTTGAGGGGGAAAAAAGCGGCGCACGGAACGGTGGAGAAAGGGATGGAAGTGAGGGCGAGGTGGAGGCGATGGAGTCATTTTGCAGGTGAATGCTTACATAAGCGGGTGGATGGTGCTGAGCGGGGTTCCGTTTGCGGGTGGAGGCGGCGATGACTTCATCCTTGCCTTCCGCACCCACCACGCCCTCATTCACCACCACATACACATACACACAGCATACAATGTCGAACACTGACTGGGACAGTAAAACCGTGATTGGACGAGGCGTTCGACCTTCCGGCGGCGGTGGCGGTTCTGCAGGACCTACTGCCTACGAGCGGGCTAAGCAAGTTGGCGCCATCACGGACCTCGATCGAAAAGTCACGGCGGGTACTAACAAGGGCCATGTGGGTACGGACCACCAGCGCATCGCAAAGCTCGACAGGGAAAACGAAGTTGCCCCGCCCCCCAAGGTCGCTCCCACCGTCGGCAAGACCATCGGCCAAAAGAGACAGGAAAAGGGTCTCACCCAGAAGGACCTGGCGACCAAGATCAACGAAAAACCCCAGGTGATCCAGGAATACGAAAGCGGAAAGGCGGTTCCTAACCCCCAGATTCTGGCAAAGATGGAAAGGGCCCTGGGAGTCAAGTTGCGAGGAAAGGACATTGGCGCTCCTCTTGGAGGTCCCAAGAAGAAGTAACTCGCGACTGTCAAGAAGTAGCAAAACAAGACTCTGCAAGTTCGATTCGCATTCAATCAATCGTCTTCTCCTCATCCTCGTCTGTGTCCAACCACTGTGTCAGATGATGGAAACACACTCAACGCAGTGTTGCCCTCGAAAGCCCTGAGAACCCTCACTCGTGAGCAAGCTTTGGTTGCACCAACGATTGCATGCTGTCAGTCCACAGATGAGCATCTAGAGGCTTAGAATTGCCACGATCTAGCACGTTGCCGACGGCTTATCTTTATCCTCGCGCCCATTTTTCGCCGCCGCAAAGTACGGATTGTCGTCTAGCTCGCTATGGGCACTCTGGTCTTGGCTCGGGTTGCTCTGGGCGTAGAGCTCGCTGGCGCCCGGTGGGGTGTCGAGCGTCTCATTGCGCGGGCTTTTGTACGTCGGTTGGTCCGGCAGCAGCTTGGGTTTGGGGTGGTGCGGTTTCTTCCCCAGCGACGCAGCTCGCTCCTGCACCGACTGCGCGTGCCGCGGGCCCTCGCCGTCCTTGCCGGGACTCGAGTAGGCGTGCACATCCATACTCGCCATCTGCGCAGCAACATCGTCCGTGTCAGTCACACTGCGCTGGAACGAGGGCAGCTGCGTCGAGGTGGGCGAGGAAAAGATGTCGGGCGATGCAGAGCGTGGAGACTCGGTGGTGATCTCGGGCGGCCCTGCATCGGATGCATCGCGGTGCAGCGTTGCAATGGGCCCGGATCGATTGCGTTGCAAGGGTCCGTTGCCATCGGGCTCTTGGTGCGGCAGCTCAAACGTGTGCATCTGCGGCGAGTCAAACATACACGCCGCCGCACTCTGCAGCTGCTCCACCTCGGCCGCATCGTTCGTCTCGGCCCGTGGCGTCTCTTCGCGCTCCGCTTGGCCATACCCACCCGGCGTAGGCGTCTCCTCCTTGATTGTCGCCACGTCGGCGCTGGGCTCGTCGTCGTGCGTGCTCGTCTCGCGCGTCGCGGCGCGGCTCGGCTTGTCCGGACTCGGCGTGGATGGCGGGAACCAGCTGCTGTCCGGATTGCTGCTTCCGGACGTCGAGCGCGAAGCCTCCCGGCGCGCACGATTGACGGAGCCGCCCTTCTTGAAGCGCGAGATGGCGCGGGCGAAGGTAAAGATGTTGGTGATCTTGCAGATGGCGCAGTCGAGGTCCTCGTCGGTGATCTCGCTCACCACCTTTTCGAGGTTGTCGTCCTTGGAGAGCAGGATGCCGTCGTCCACCTGCTGCGTCCACGCGTGCTGGCGCATCTCGGGCACCGTGATGCGGCGCTCGGGATCCTTGGCGAGCATGCGGCGCAGCAGATCGGCGAGATCGGACGAGAGGTGTGCGGGGAGCTCGGGCTCGTCGTTCTTGATCGCCTCGTACATTTCGTAAAAGTTGTCCTTCTGGAAGGGGAGGTGGCCGACGCACATGCAGTAGAGCGTCACGCCGAACGACCAGATGTCGTCCGACTTGCCGTGGTATTCGGCATGCCCGGCAGTGCATAGCTCGGGGCTCATGAACGCCGGACTGCCCGCCGACTTCTGCATGGTGTCGTCGCCCGGCTTGACGAACATCTCGGACACGCCAAAGTCGACGATCTTGCATGTCTTGCGGTCGTTGCTCAACAGGATGTTGTCCGGCTTGATGTCGCGGTGCACAATGTCGTTCTCGTGCAGATACTCGATGCCCATGAGCACCTGGACAAAGTAGAGGCGCGCCACGTCTTCGGGCAGCGGCTGGACGCGCTGGTTGAGCTTGATGTCGATGACGGTGCCGTCGGGACAGTACTCAAAGACCATGTAGAGGCTGTCCTTGCTCGGGTCGTCGAGCACCTCGTAGAGCTGCACGACGTGTGGGTGGTGCAGCTTCTTGAGGATGGCGATCTCGTGGCGGATGTGGGTGAGCGGGTCCTTGGTCTCGTCCTGGGCCTGGGCCTGGGCGTGCGACGGATCGCTGCGGTCGGCCATGCCTAGGGGGTTGCGGCGGTGCGGCTTGCGCAGGCTGACGGCGCGATGCGTCTTGCGCAGCCGCGTCTTGCCAAACTCCTTGACGGCGAACTGGACGCTCGGGTCGTCGGTGAGGATGGCCTTGCGCACGGTTCCGTAGGCGCCGCGTCCGATCACCTCGGTGATCTTGTACTGGTTGATGATTTTCGATCCGTCTTCGAGGTCCTTGCTCTTGGCGTCGAGCGTCTCGCGGTATTCGTGCGAAGGCGTGCGCGACATGGATCGGGACGGCGGCCGATCGTGCGATGAGCCGGGAACGCCGAGCGACGAGCTCGAGGCGAGCGACCAGGTGCGCGACTGAGAGGCGTTGGGCGAGTGCGCGTGCGGATGCGAGTGGCTGTGGTTGTGGTTGTGGGCATGCGAGTGCGAGTGCGAGTCCTGATGGGCATGCGAATGCGAGTGGCCTTGGGTGTTGGGGCGAGGAGACGGTGTGTCTTTGCCTTCGGGTGTGCCTGCGCTCGTCGAAGCGGCTGATCCGAGCGACTTGAGCTTCTGCTCGATGAATGATGGCAGCTGATCGTCGTCTTCGGGTGACCCGGACAAGAGATGTTGTGACATGGTGGGAATTCAACGATCGGATCAGTTCCGCTCCAGTTGTAGCCAGCGTGATTCACGACCGCCAGAGGATCGGATGTTCCGAGTGCGATCGATGCTACGATGGATGGGGTGCTGGCGAGAATTGCCGATGAGAGGATGGAGGTCAGGACAATCTCGGCGCTCAGGAACTAGTTGCACACGCGAGACACAAAAAAGCCAAGAGCGCTCTCGCTGCCCATCGGATGCACGCACGGATGCTGCACATGTTCGGTGGAGGATTGGCGTTCCGCCGGTGAAGGCAGCAGCAGCAGCTGCAGCAGCAGCAGAGCGCCCTATCGGCTCGAGCTTGCAGATTCGATGGACCGTCCATTTTCATGCCCTCTTTTTCGCGCACTTTTCCCCTCGTAGCTGCGCATTCGGCTGCTTCCGTACGCAGCCATGTCGCCGATCTAACAAACCTGACTTTGCTCGCCCGCCTCCACACGGCTGTCCTGCTAGCGCTGGTGGCGGCGGCGGGCATTCACAATCGGCACCCTACGTCAAGCAGTGCAGCAGGCTGGGCTATCTTCCTGCTACCACCTGACAACACCCTCTACCTTTGGCGCTCGTTCTGCACGATCATGTGCATGCTCTTGATGCAGCCTTCTATGCAGCCTTCTGACCCGCATCGATGCCCTCGCGGCTAAACTCGTCGACCATGGATCGCCTGCTCGCGGACGAGACGATCCTTCGCATCTTTGGCTACCTCGATGCCTTGGATCTCGTCCGTCTCCAGGCGGTCAGCTCGCATTTCCGTGCGCTTGCAAAGGACCGCCATCTGTGGAAGCGTCTCTTCTTCTTCGCTTTTGTCCATCCCACCTTGGCTTCGGGGAGCTCCGACAGTGCCCGAGAGGCCCCCCTCCTTCCGACCCTGCGCGAGCTCAGATCTTTGCTCCTGCACCAGCACCTCCCCATCGGCAAGTACATCCCGGGGGACGGAACGAACAGGATATCCCGCATCCCGCAACGCTTCTATGCAAGCCAGCCAGGCCTCGATCACCCTGCTCGAGACTCGCTTACCTCGGACGAGTCGGATGACAGGATTGCGGACCGGCACCTCGACTGGGAGCAAATCTACCGCGTGTCGAGCAAGTGGCAGAATGGCAACTTTGTCGTCTCCCGACTGCTCTCTGCCAGCACAAGCCGGTCTGGAGGGCCGCCGCCCAAGGCGGTGCAAGAACAGGCGAGATCTACGCGGCTTGAAAGCCTGCCCACAATCGTAAGGATGTCGAGCAACTTCATCTTCACCGCTGCGCAGTGTGACGATCCAGAGGTCCTCGTCTATCCTTGCGACAATGAACCTTCGCGCGCCGAACATCCCCCATCTTCTGCGCCTGTTCCGTCCCATGGCGACTTGCACGACAGGACACCGATCGCGCGCATCTCCTCGCCGAGTCTGCAGAGGCTGATGTCGCAGCGGCCTCTGGATGGAGAACTGCATCGCGCCCGCATCACCGAGATCGCCGTCGATGCTGCATCCGTTGACACAGCCTCCAAACCAATCTCCTCCGACGCTCGGAAGCGCAAGTATCGAGAGACAGCCGAGCTCAACGCTGGCTCAGTCGCCACGGTCGTCGTTGCTTACTCGTCTGGACATGTCGGCATCTTTTCTTTGAAGAGACGTGGGCCTGCGGGACACGTAGGTACACAAGTCGACGAGCTGGCATTCCTAGACACAGGGACCTTCTCGCCGGGCACACACATCTGCATGGCTGCTCTGCATTCTCCCGCCCTGGTTCTGTGCTCTTCCAGATTCGACATTAGCTTCTTTCGCATCGCATCCTCTCCCACGGGAAGCCTCAAGCTCGAGATGGTCCAGAGACTCTCGAGCTTCCGTTGCAGCTGGCCGGCGTCGCTGCGCCTCAAGCCTCTGCCCTACCACCACGCTCAGTCCAAACGGCCCCGGCGATGGTCCCGATCTCGCTCTTCGGAACGTGCAGACCGAGAAGAGCATGATCAAGAGGTGGCTTTTAGGGCCACTGTGGCATATTCTTCGCCGAGCTATCCGTCGTCCTGGAGCGTGTCGGTCCAGGAGATCGTGATACAATTTCATACGAGGCGGCCTCAAGCGGCTGCACAGGTCAGCAGCCGACACGCGACAGCCCGGCATTCATTCAGGCCGACCCCTTTGGACCTCCGAGGCCGATCCATGCTCGGTGGGGGATTCTCTGCACTTGCCCCTCCGGGTGGCGCTGCTCAGCGTGCCGATCTCGACGCAGCGAGCCGGAGCCGCACGACGACCCTTACGTACGACGATCCGTTCGTCGTAGTTGGAGCGAGCGACAACATGCTTGATGTATATGAGCTTGTGGGCGCCACCACGTACGTACGTCAAGGCGTGCCGACTTTGGGCGCTGCGCGCTCTGCCACCGCCACGCCGCTGTCATCACGAGAGGCGCTGCAGCTCGTCCATCGGCGCAGACTACACGGCCACACGGGCAGCGTGCATAGTGTGGCACTAGAGGATGGCCGATGTGTGAGCGGCGGTGCGGACGGCAGCGTCATGGTGTGGAGTCTCGGCGACCGGGCGAACGACACCGAGTCGATCGCGAGCTTCATGCGCAATACCCGCGCCACTGCCCGCGGTGCGGACAACGCGAGTGCAGCGATGGACGAGGAAGACGCGGAGCAGGCGGCGTCGAGTATGACGCATGTGCTGACGCTGCGCACGCCCGTGGAGGCGGAAGACCGAGTGCAGGTAGCGAGGACCCAGGCGCAGACGCCGCAAGCAGGACTGTCGCTCAGCCAGATCGTGCGCAGCCGTGTGCTGGATCGCCAGGCCAGGGGCGTCATTAGATGGGTAGCGACCGCTTTCGACAAGATCGTCAGCGTAGTGGCGTACAGCGATGCCTCGAGGACGTGCCATGCCGATGCGTCGGAAGAAACGGCGGGGCAGGCTCGCGAGCGTATCCAGGTGTGGAGCTTCGGCTGATCAGCGCGCGCCCCCCTCTTTTCTTCCCGCAACGTCTTTTGGATCCCCCTTCTGTATTTATAGAGTGCATCATCAGTCGCATCGTCTCGGCTTTTACACGCAGCCTGTGCAGAATCCTGTCTGGCCTTGCCGAGAAGTGCATGTGATCTTCAAGGATGGTGGTAGCGGTGGATCGAGGACGCATGCTTTCGAGCTGTTAGATCGAGATGAACCGCGGGAGTCGGGCATCGCTCTCTCCACCCGGAGCCAAATTTTTCCAAGATTCGCGTAGGAGCTGAGCTGCGCTTCTGGTTTCGAAAGCTCCACCTGTGTTGCTCCTCCAAACCATCACCTCGCCACTGCATTCAACGACACAACACACACGCACGATGGATGTATTTCGAAAGCTCGCCGGTGGCGGTGTGAGCTTTGACAAGAAGCGCTTCGAGAGCGATGTCAAGATCTTTGGCGCGGCGGACGAACCGATGGCGTCGGGCTCGGCGAGCAAACACAAGCGGAAACGCAGCGAGCCCAAGGCCGAGACGCAGGCGGCCAAGAAGGATGCAGCCAAGGTGATTGTCCCAGACGGTCTGGACTTTTTCGGTTCGGCAGCCAAGGCGAAGGCGACGGTGTCGGCTGTGGAGAGGGAGGAGAGGCAGAGCCGGCGCGATGGGAAGCAGAAAGAGGAGTCCGATTCGGAGGAGGAGAGCGACTCGAGCAGCGAGGAGGAGGAAGAGGCGGTGACCAAGGCGACGCTCAGCACGTTTCTCAAGCGCAATCGCATCAAGCTCAAGGGCACGGATGTGCCGCTGCCCATGGCGTCGTGGGCGGAGCTCGAGTCGCGCTTCGGCGTGGCGCCGTGGCTGCGCACCAACCTGGACAAGTGGGGATGGGGTGTGCCCACCGCCATCCAGAAGGGCGCCATGCCGGTGCTGCTTGCGAACCGTGATCTGCTCGCGGGAGCACCGACGGGATCGGGAAAGACGCTCGCGTTTCTGCTGCCACTGCTGCACCACCTCCGCGCGCCGGCCAAGGAGGGTTTCAGGGCGGTGATCGTGTCGCCGACGCGCGAGCTGGCACAGCAGATCCACGACCAGATGCGAAGGCTGTGCGAGGGGCGCAACTTCCGCATCTGCGTGCTCACCAAGCCGGCGGATGCGGGTGCGATGAATGCGGACCCGAGCAAGCGCAAGAAGTTCGACATGCTCATCACAACCCCGTTGCGCCTGGTGCATGCAGTGGAGAAGGAAGAGGTGGATCTTGGCAACGTGCGCCATCTGGTGTTGGATGAGGCGGATAGGCTGATGGAGGATGGATTCTTGGAGCAGACGGATGCGATTCTGGCGGCGTGTTCGCATCCTGAGCTGCGCAAGGCGCTGTTTTCGGCCACGCTGCCTGCGGGCGTCGAGGAGATGGCCAAGACGTTCATGGTGGACGAATGCCGAGTCATTGTAGGCACCAAGGACAGTGCGACCGAGACGATCCAGCAGGAACTCCAATTTGTCGGATCGGAAGATGGCAAGTTGCATGCTTTGCGGTCACTGATGCAGGCGGGAGGACTCAAGCCGCCGGTGCTGCTGTTCGTGCAGTCGATCGAACGCGCCAAAGACCTGTTCCACGAACTCGTCTACGACGGCCTCCACGTCGACGTCATCCACTCGGAACGACCCAAGCTTCAGCGCGAGGGAGTCATCAGCGCGTTCAAGCGCGGCGATGTATGGGTGCTCATCTGCACCGAACTCATCGCCCGAGGCATCGACTTTAAAGGCGTCCAGCTGGTGATCAACTACGATTTCCCACAGAGCGTGCAGTCGTACATCCACCGCATCGGACGGACTGGCCGTGCGGGGCGGGCGGGGAGGGCCATCACGTACTTCACCAAGGACGATGCGGCGTATCTCAAGACGGTGGTGAATGTCATGCGTCAGAGCGGCTGCGACGTGCCCGAGTGGATGCTCAAACTCAAGGCGCCCAACAAGAAGGAGCGCAAGAAACTCAAGGCCAAGGCACCCGAGCGGAAGGATATCAGGACCGTCGCCGCCTCGAGCATTGGGCGTAGACAGGCGAATAGGCGCAAGGATATGATCGCCGCTTCCAAGCGCAGAAAGACCGAGGCGCAGGCTGGTGCCGGTGCGGAAAAGTCGACGTAAAAAACGAAATGCAACATTGTTTGACATGCAAAGGTCAGCCGAAAGGGTTTCTACATGTCGTCGTCAGAAGCAATGTCCGAGTCGTCGACGCCTGTGGTGTCTTGCTGCTGAACAATCGCCTGGACGGTGTGTGTGATGAGTCGAACGGCATGGTTGACGGTATCGAGCAGCGGCTTGAGCTGGGTCTTTGCGGCCCTGTCGTCGCCAAGGATCAAGTGCCTCTGCTTGCGCGCGTCGAGATTGGTGCTGAGGAAGAGCAGCAACCCGCGCGCGAGGTCCGCACTCCCACCCAGCAGATTCGCCTGCAGCAGCTTGACCAACCTCTCTTGCTGGAGTGGCTTTGTCACCGTTGGCAGATGCAGCGTCTTGGCGGGACTCTTGGACTGGATCGACAGCACTAGGTGGATCACAAGGTTGCCCAGGAACTGCGCTGGTCTTGGTTGCACCTGGGTAAAGTCGACCGTTTTGAGCGCTTGGAGCGAGAGGCAGTCGTGGGTGATCCACCACGCATATGCGCGAGCGAGATTCGCAATCCGGCGCGGATCGACCTGCTTGTCGTCGTTGGCGAAGCCAGCGGCGGCGAACTTCTCACCGCCGACTTCGGATTGGCCAATGTCGCGCAGGAAGTCCCAGAGACAGTACTGGAGCGTAATGCGCATGCCGTGGTCGTTGCGACACACCTCCTGGGCCACAAGCGTATAGTACGGGTTGTAGACGCGTTCGGAGCCGACACAGTGCACCAGCACACGGACGATCTCGCGACGCTGCACGTCGTTGAGCTTGAGCATAAGCACCTGTTCGGCGGCGTTTTTGTAGTCGTCGGCGGTGAGCAGTGTGACGAAGACGGTGCGGCGCGCGTCGGTGTTCATCCCCTGCGCTCGGGCGAGGTCGAGCAGCTCGCTCTGCTCCGAGTCAATGGTGGCCTGGGTGGAGGAGGATTGGATGAAGTCAGAGCGAGCGCTCATGGGAAGCAGCTTGGTGAGCCCCTGTGCATCGGTCTGGTCCGTCTGGCCCGTCCAGGCTGCACCCACGAGCCACCACTTGCCCTTCTTGTCCGCATCGCGCAGGTCCTTGAGTGAGATGCGCAGCGGCTCGTGGCTGCGCACGCTGCGCTTCTTGGCCATGCCGCCGAGGAACTTCTTCATGCGCGCAAGCAGCTGCCCCGCCGCACTGTTGGGATTCGCCGCCTCGGCGCTCGAACCCTTGGCTTTGGACTTTTGCAGCTCCACCATACGCTCGAGCATGAACTTGGTGCGTGTGGAGAGGGCGGCTGGCGAGGCGGCGACGCGCGTCTGCGTGAGCGCAATGATCGCCTTGAGCGACGTAGGGTCGTCGTGCCTCAGCTGGTGGCCGCACGACCGCATCGTGCGCAGCAGCAGCTCGATGTCCACCTCGCCCACGCCAACCTCCGCAGTCGCGGACGAATCTTCGGGGCGATCGCCGAGGAACATGCGGATGAGATCGTAGACGAGCGGACACGCCACCACGTGCAAGTTGTACAGCTCGCACGCAAGAACGCACAGGTTGAGGCACTCTTTACCCTTGACATCCTCCTCCTCGCCTGCCGCTGGCGGCTGGTTGGAAGAGCGCTTGAGCTCGTCGTAGTGGCGCGTGAGATCTTCGACGAGACGCTGGATGAAGTACGCTGCAAACTCGACGCCCACCACCTTGTGCAGCGCCGCGACGAGCGCGGCGTGCAGGATGACAAAGGTGTCGATGAGGTTCGAGCGCGACGTGACCGTGTCGAGGATGAGCTGCGTCACGGTCGCGGTGACGTGGGCGCGCGCGTGCGTGCGGTAGAGCGCTTCGTACTCGGTGACGATCGTGTCGATGTTGCCGTCGCCGAGGCGGTTGAGCAGACCCTGCGCCTGGCGACGCAGTTTTTGCGCTGCGACCGGGTCCATCTCGGCGTCGACCCCCTGCGATACCTTGGCGGAGGAGGTCGAGGAGGCGCCTTCTTCCGCCGCCAGCTTTGCTCGCAGGGCAGGCGGGATGTACCTTGTGGAAGATGCGCTGGTCGCTGTAGGGGCGGCGGGAGCTGATGCAGAAGACGATCTAGATGGGTCGGCGGTGGGGGATGTGCCCGAGATCAAGGCGCGTGCCTCTTCTGCCTCTGAGTCGGCGTCTGCCTCGTCAGAAGACGGCTCGTCGTCCTGATCCTGCTCCTGGTCTTCCTCATCGGTGGTGGCCATGGCAGCATCCCAGTTGCTGAAATCATCCTCGTCGTTCGAGTCAAAGTCGTACACGGCTTCGTCGTCGAGGTCTTCCTTGTCGTCCTCGCTCTCGCCTGTCTCGTCCGCATCTTGATCGTCTTCTTCCTGTTTATCGCTCTCTTGCTCGCTCGCGGTCTCGAGCCCCGAGTCGTCGCTTTCGTCTTGCTCCTCATCATCATCTTCGCTGTCGCTGTGGTCGTACATGCCGACCTGGAAGCGATCAAGATCGTCGAGGAAGTCGTCGAGGTCGTCGCGCACGACATCATCGCCCTGTCGGCTCTTTCCGAGCTGGTACTCGAGCCACCTGATCTCGTCCTCCTCCTCCTTCTCCTGCTGGTTCATGTTGCGTCGGCTCTTCTTCTTTGCGCCCGCATCGTCGCTCGCCTTGGCCTTGCCCTTGGAAGACGACGGACCGGCTTCGGCGCGCGCGAGCATCTTCTGCAGCGCCGTCTGCTTGGATGCGCTAGCCTTGGTCTTGGCTGGCTGCACACGCTCCATCTCGCCGGTGAAGGGGTTGAGGCGCGTCTTGTGTGGCTTGCTGCTTTCGCTTCCGGATCGCTGAGAGGGGGTATCGCTCTTGTGCTTCTTAATGACCTTGAGCGGCTGCTCCGGTTGCTTCTCGGGCTTGCGCTTGGGCACCGGTGTGGACGACGAGGATGCCTCGGTAGCGCGGTTGTTGGGTGCATTCTGGAGAGCAGGTTGCTTGCCGTGGCGATGCTGTTGCTGTTGCTCTTGGGCTTCCTTCTCCTGATTACGCAGCGACTTGATGGGTCCACGAGGCGTGCCCTTGGCCGCACCGTTCAGTGCGCTTTGGGGACGACCGATTGCTTTGAGCTGTGGCTTTCCTCTAGAGTGTGCTGATGACGCGTTGGAAGGACCGCCGCGGTGGTGGGGACGGAAGGAACGCTTGGAGGGCGGTGGCAGGCCGAGCTCGTCGCGCAGTGCAGCGGGAAGCGCTGTGGTGTGGCGCGACTTTGTGCGCGGATCGAACGGCATGGTTGTGATGCAGTGGTGGTGATGCCGAGCAGGGGGATGAGGGTGTGAAGCAGAAGAAGAAGAAGAAGAAGAGGTGCGGAGGAAAAAGTGAAAGGCTTGGGCGGTGGAAATTTTGGCGCATTTCTCGGAAGTCGGAGCGCAACTTTGGCAGCTCAGCCGAAGGATGGAATGCCGTGCATCCACTCACCTTCTGCTCCCAACCACGAGTCTCTCACTGGCTGACTTGAAGAACATCAACCATGGATGCGCTCGCAGGGTACGGATCGGATGACAGCGACGTCGAAGAGCGCGTCTTCACAAAGCCCGCACAGCCCGCGTCGACAACGCCGGCAGAGCCTCTGGAGTACGACCCGTCGGACGCGTTTGGTCTCAACTCGCTCCGGTCGAACGAGACACCAACGCAAGAATCGCCTGCTCAGCATGCAGGCACCAACAGCCGTGGTGCGCGCTCGACGAACAAGAAGAGCGCATCCTCGGGCGCGGCAGGCCCAGCATCTGCTCCTTCGACGTCGGCCTCGTCCTCGGTGGGCACGGTAGCGCTAGCCCCCGACGTGATCGACAACTCTTCGGCTGCCGAAGCGCTGCTGCTTCGTCCGGACGACAGCACGATGCACGTCAACATCCGGTACTCCGACATGACGGCGGCGCAGCTTGGGCCGGAGAACCCATTCGCGTCGCACGCACAGCGTCACCTCGGCGCGCAGCAGAACACGCTTACGGGCCACGTCGAGACAGCCGCCGTGTCGGACTTTGACTTTCGCAACCAGCAGCGCACGTTCCACGTGTACGGATATGCGCGCGATCCGTCGCTGCTCGCGTCAGGCGAGGCGCAGTACATCGGCGACCAGGCTGCGGCGGCGAGCATGGGCGGTGCATCGGCGGCAGACATCCGTGCGAACCATGCGAGCTTTCGACCGGCCACCAAGTCGCTCCGTAAGAAGCGGGGGGCTGGGGCGGGCGATGCGAGCATTGTCGAGGGCGATGGGGCGTATGTTGGGCCATGGGCCAAGTGGCAGGGCGATGAGGATGTAGCCACGCAGCTGCTGGGCGGTGTCAGCGGTGTGGGGCCTAGCGAGGCGGAGGTGGCGGCGGCACAGGCGAAGGCGGACGAGCGCGCGAGGGATAAGGCGGCAGCAGCGAGCGCGAGGAAGCAGGCGGAGGAGGTGGAGACGGTGACCGAGACGAGCATCTTCCACGGCAAGAGCAGGTACGACTACCAGGGGCGCACGTACATGCACGTTCCCACGGATGTGGATGTGAACCTCTCCGGCGAGGCAGGCGAGCAGGAGTGCTACCTGCCCAAGACGTGCATCCACACCTTCCGTGGGCACACCAAGGGCGTATCGACGATCAAGCTTTTGCCGCGCACGGGGCATTTGCTGCTCTCGGCGTCGCTGGATAATACGGTGAAGCTGTGGGATGTGTACCACGACCGCGAATGTTTGCGCACGTTCATGGGGCATAGTAAGGCGGTTCGGGATATTGCCTTCTCCAACGACGGCAGGCGGTTCTTGTCCGCGGGCTACGATAGGCAGGTCAAGTTGTGGGACACCGAGACGGGCGCGTGTCTCGACAGCTTCACCAACGGCAAGACGGCGTACTGCGTGACGTTCCATCCGGACGAGGATAAGCAGCATATCTTCCTGGCGGGGATGAGCGACAAGAAGGTGATCCAGTGGGATACGAATACGCACACGGTGACGCAAGAGTACACGTCGCATCTGGGACCAGTGAATACGGTGACGTTCGTGGATCAAAACAGACGGTTTGTTACGACCTCGGACGACAAGACGATGCGCGGGTGGGACTTTGATATCCCCGTGGTGATCAAGTACATCGCCGACCCGAGCATGCACTCCATGCCTGCGGTGACCGTCTCTCCCAGCGCCAAGTGGATGGCAGCACAGAGTATGGATAACCAGATCCTGACTTTCGCCACGGACGGGTTCAAGCAGAACCGCAAAAAGGTCTTCCGGGGTCACAATGTGGCCGGATTTGCGTGTCAGGTGGGATTCAGCCCGGACGGAAAGTTCCTCAGCTCCGGCGATGCCGATGGCAACCTGTGCTTTTGGGACTGGAAGTCGACGAGGCTGCTCAAGCGGATCCGGAATGCGCATAGCGAGGCCGTGATTGCGCATGCCTGGTTGCCGCACGAATCGAGCAAGATCGTCACCGCCAGCTGGGACGGCGATATCAAGCTGTGGGACTAGGACCCCACCACCTGCATAGACACCAATTCATCACCTTGCCTCACGCAAATGTGTGCGAATGTGCGAATGTATGAATTGAAGACACTGGAGCTGGAG